GCCAAAATGCCTCGGTAACAAGGATTCGAGTCAGATTTAAAACTTATTCATATGTGGACCAGCCAGTTGTTAGATACACCTGCTTGTTACAGAGTATGCTTGTTGGGATTCCTGTTTTGTCAACAAACACTCCTTAGTTAATGAGCATAATTTTCCTTTTCATACATAAACTCAAGTTGCCCTTTTCTCTTTCTTTAAATCATTATCATCAGTTCAAATTTTAGCAATATCCTTTTCCATAAAGCTGAACAATATGTACCGTCAAACCATAGCTACTAACTATGGTCAAACCCAAAGGATGGTCGGTTTGGGAAAGGAGAAACCAATTTTGTTTGGAAGTCTTGAGTAAGGCGATGGATTTTGATTAAAGCCACCGTCCTTTTTTAACTCGTGATTGCGTTAGCAAGTAATGTGTTGTAGTGGCTGATCAGATTATGCAAATGATATGCAAAGGTGGAATTTTTCACTTCTCGGATCGAGAACCCCGGGGGGAGGGGATGCTTCCTTATACAGGCTATATGGGTATGTGCGGCCCCAAGAGGTATGGTTTTTCAGCCGTTCTGGTCATAAATAGGGTCCCGATTTTGGCCATTTTGGTCTTAAATATATGGTACGGTTTTTGCACTCTAGTTTGAATTAAGTATGTATCTTAGAAGAAGCTACTTTTTCATCATTATCGATGAGACCATACACAAATGCCCTTCATAAATTATTTTTAGGGCAATTGTGCCAACCACAACGCTCATAAATAGGGTATCGAATGTTTGGTCAGGTCATAAATAGAGAAGGGAAAATCGCAGTTTTTGGTCATAAATAGGGTAGGCGTTTTGAGAAGCGGGCAGCCCAACCCCCACCCAATCCTTCTGGGAGTACCCCCGGGAGGAATCGGCCATTCCTAATTGGACTGTACAGCTTTGTTTTTCTCTTAAAAGTAGGGAATTGAGGGACCGATATCTTGCTAAAATCGCTTCAAATCAGCAGAAAAAACGAACAGACAATGGTTGAGCCTACTTTCCTTATTATATAAAAAAAAAAGCTCCCATTGCCACTTTTTCGTGATTATCCTGGCAAGCTCTGGCCGTTTAGCATCAAACCCACTTTTGATAACTTTAACTCTATACAAAACTTTAAGTACTTCCTCTTTTATTTCGATTGTTTAATTTCAATTACCAAATGGAAAAACAAACTCTTAATTGCATTCTGAAAGAAAGCCACTTGACCTCTGATTTAATACCCTGATATTTTTCTTTCCAGAGAAATTTCATAAATTTTATTTGAGCGTAAATCTCTTTTCCATCTCGATCATTGGAATAGGTTGTTTATTTACAGACATATCCATTCTTGAATACAATTAATTGCATGTAGATCTCTGATTACTACATTAAATAATTTACTAAATTCGCATTTTAACCTTTACGGAAACGGCTGCAATTTTTCGAGATCGACAGTCTTGGAAAATATTAAGAGGATTCTGCTTCCCTCTTGCACCAGAATCCCCGACGGCATTCGTTTTCCTTGGTGGCAGAATGAATGATGTTTCTCTTCTTTTTACACCAGTACCCTGGAGGGCAGGCTGCGGAATCTTCTTCTTGCGTTTCAGCGCAAGTGAAATCACGCGGGCAGCTTCGTTTTGAGAGAAAATCGATTGACCGCTTTCTTCGGCACCAGTACCCTGGTGGACAAGCCCTGAACGAAAACATGGAGCGAGGCTGACTGGTTTCAACTTCCTTGCACCAAAAACTGCATTTGTTATAAAAAAAAACAACAACAACAACATCAGTACACACTTTACCTTGTAGGTATCCGCATAGAGGTAACATTACTAGTCGATACATTTGTTAAGTAGGTGTGCTATGTGATTTAATAAGAAATAAATACGCATTTCAACGCAGTCCAGAAAATCGCTGGTGTGAATTGCAGAGAACGAGAACAACAAGCTACGGATCACAACCCTATAGCGACTTTCAAGCTTGCCACTCTCTTTGGAATGCTAAAATAACCCAACTGATTGAACCAGAAACTGGTAGCCAGGCATTGCGTCAAGGAATACGCACCCTGAAAAAGTTGCCGTGCTTGTCAATCTTCCCCAAACATAACCACCCTTGTTCCTTGGTGTATTTTCATTTTTTTTTTTTTTTTTTTTTTTCATTTTATTTTTGTTGTTTTTGCGTTAATTGAACGAGCCCTGTAGATCACTTAAGTGTGCGTTGGTATAACGGATCGAGAAGAAATCACCACTGCTCACCCGTCTTGACATTCCTCTGGCTGAGTCGGTTGATCTACCACTAGCTCGCTTCTTCGGCACCAATACCCTGGGGGACAAGCTTCAGCACTTCGTGCTGACCGGCATAAAAAACCTCTAGGGCACGAAGCAGAATCAAACTCGCGTTTTTTCTTGCACCAATATCCGGGAGGACAAGCCGATGAAGAATGTTCGTCTTGTAACTCTGCGGTCTCTTCAGCGGCGAAAGTGGGTGACAATACTCCGTATAGACCCAGCAGAAGGGTTATAAGTGTGATTTGATGCAACATTCCTGTCAAGAGGAAAAGGTGATTGAAATTTACTTTCCTCAGCAGCGTGCTATGCTAGCACAACTGAGAAGACTGAAGAAGAAGAAGCCTGCTAGCCGAGGGTAGTCTCTTTGTAAATGTAATAGTTCAAAATGGGGGCTCTGCCCTGGACAAAGTGAGGTACACGTGTTTCACCGTTCTTTTGAGTTCGGCCAAAGTAGGACTAAATAGAGTACAGTGAAATTCTGCCAACAGTTCAGTCATGTTCAGTACTGCAGAATGACTCTCTAGATATGAGATAGCTTTCACTTGATGGGCTGATAAAGTACTATCGACGATGGCAAATTCTATTTTAAACATCTTTTTACAAAAGCAACAGAACGCAGGCTACTACTTCAGTACACCAGATAGTGGCAGACAACCAAAGTACCAGTTTCTTATTCTTTTTCTGTTTTTGACATTGGTATGTCCCTTAGGGAAAAAATTGCGCAATCTTCACCCCCTCGGCACCCCCGCGGGTAGTACTTTCTTGTAAGGATACTCCCCATCTCCCACCCCAAAATTTCAAAAAAACAAATAATAATGTTTGATTCTGTAAGCTTATTATTAAGCTGAAAATTATCCATCCTTAATTGCATCGCACGTCACCCTCTGTTGCTAAAATAGCTGAGTGTTGAATCTGATTTCCGCAGTGTTTATTGAATATTTACAAAGAGCGCTGTCTGTGACATTTTGAAAAATATATTGAGCAAACAACTTATTCAAGAAATTTTCTCATGTCTTCGATGAATTTGCAAAGAAAAGTAATTTCCTTTCCACATAATTTTTCCGCGCCGACTTTTCACGATTTTTTCATTCTTTTTTTTTCGTCATTGAGAGCGCGTAAAAGAATTTGATTGTGGTCTAAACTTAGGGCAATTTTGTAAGATAAGAACTGAATTCGGCCTGGGTTATTAACGGTGAAATTTTACCCTTAAGAAGCCTAATTGCTTTCTTTGTTGATGAATGTATCTATATTTCAATCTTCTAATGGCATAAAGAGAAAAATGGCTCTGAAAAATTCAAGGCAAATTTTAGAGTCAGACGTGTGCGAATTTCATAATGGATTTTTTAAATATCTATTTTTGAATGAATATCGTTCTGATTGTTGTGAAAATTGACCGAAAATAGCAGAATATATTCAAATGCTCGACAGACCCTTTTCATTCACTAAAACAAATGAAAACACAGCTGATACATGAAGACCAGATTTGTTTATTGAAAAACACTAATGTGATCTTTTGTTGAATACTGTATGTTGTTTTTTTTTAGCTAACAAATTGCATAGTATTACGATCAGGGTGTGAGTTGATGAAACGAAAAATAACTTCATCGGATCAAATTTTGTTTTCAGTGCCAGTTTTTTTTGCTTTTTATCTTTGGTCTAGATGAAATTAAACAAAAAACATGTATTACCAAAGGGTGCGGAAAATAAGCGAAAGCTGTGAATTTGATAATGACGAAGACATGCGGACAAAGTTTATCACTCATAACATTAAGATAGAATTTTGGAGAATAAATCGTTGCTCGACTAATTCAAGTTGTTTATATGTAAACTATAAATCGCAAACTTGGATTTGGTACAGACTGTAAACTATAAAAAAAAATCGGAAATAAATTGTGAAGAAAAACTCTGATTACTTGTAAGGACAGATGCCGGAGAAGATTTAATTAAACAAACTAAACATTGTACTGTAAGCGATTAACTAGATACTTAATTGAAATTTTTCTTTTTTGTGTTCTAAAGAGGCAAAAATTGCAGCCCTGTATTGAGACAAAAAACATTGTATTATTATTAAGATACGTTTCTCGAGGAATATTGGATTATAACTACTCACTGGACTAATCTACGCGAGTCGAGTCTTTGTCGTTTTAATAGATTCTACAATGAGCGATAAAAAATAGGAAGCTTTTGGTTACATTTTAATCGCTTTACTCGTGTGAGGGTGTAACCAGTTTTTGCATTTATTTTTTAAGTCAGGGATTCGTCGTACGGTTTTAAATAACTTTAGACTGGACAACCAAACATCTCGTAGATGCGACTCAACAAACGGCTAAGCTACCGAATCGTTGGCGATTTTCGGCAACTCAAACAAAACTTTTATCAGGAAAAAAAATACTTCTTTTAAATCATTTCTCACAATACAAAATAGGGATGTCATTGCCTCAGGGAAAGGATATAAGCCCGTTACGACAAAAATTGTTTTCTTTTAAGGGTAAACCTATTATAAACTCAAGCTTTACATTTGAGAATTGCCACGGGAGAAACGGCTCGAGCCCGCTTACAACGGAAGACATAGCAAACAACGTGGTCAGAACTTGATACAAAGTATGATTTTGTTAAACGTGTAACTCTTGTAGGACTATAACAAAAGAAAAATTAGCGCTTATTTTCCAGTTACAACCGTGAACCCATGCGGTCAGACAGGTTTCGTAGTGAAAACCAAAATGAAAACTCTACGCAAAACTGTAAGATATATGAATTAAGAAGATAAAGCCTTACCTTTTCACGATGATAACTATGGAATAAATATGTCCTTTGTGATACCAAAGGGAGAAGTTTGAAGCAAATGGATGATGATTCGCGGGTCCCGCCGCGAAATCGTGTATTTGCTGTGTGACTACTGTATCAGTGGCCTACCGGGCACATCGCTTTATAGTCAGAGGGCTAATTGTGGGTGTTTTAATGAAGTATTTGTCTTGGTCGATGAAAGGATATCCGAAGCTAATCTAGACACGCAGATCGAATGTTTAAATTGTGTAATTTGTTATTGAACCTCGAATCCGCATCCCCTTGAACGTGATACAATACAACAATCTGAATAAACATTTAGCCGGGCCAAGATCGCTTTTAATTAGTGCGTGGTGCGATATTTCCGGGACTCGAACTAACAATAGGTCGAAACGCTCCTTAATTCATTTAAGCCATCACCCTAGCTCTCAATCACTCATGAAAATGAGATTTATCATCGGCTTACTTCGCATGAGCGCAACGCAATGGCAAACGCAAAATTCCTCCATTTCTATCTCTCGCGAATCACATTAAAACCCATTCAACCCCTTCAGTCTATTCAAAAGAAACAGACCACGATAATTGATCTGCTCAATTTCTAAAGGGAACTAATAGTTAGGAGGATATTGAAAATACTATTATCTCGTTTTAACAAGAATAATTGGCTTTTTGATTCTCAATTGCCTTTATGTGATTAGATCGATATCACTTTTTTAGAAACGATAGCTATATACATTGGATTTCTCTCGATGGCGCGTACGTTACCCACACTAAGAACCTTACCTTTGCTAAGGTACATTATTTATTAAGAAATAAAATCGGGCTTCGAATTCTCAGTTATTTGTCATTTACTGCGCAACGTTTAAAAACCCAACAACACTCGAGTGGTATGTGAAAACTGATTTCCCAGCTTAACTTCATCAATCGAAACGAAACTGTATACATAATTTAGGAGGAGAATTTTGCTTTTTGTATATTGATTTTAGTATGGTTTTAGTAAACGCTACTTTGCTAAAACCGCCTTACTCTGAAACTCACTGAGTGTATAAAATTACTGTTATTTATCGGGAAACAAATCTCTTTCAGCAACAAGCCTACGCACGCGCTTGCTCTGAACGAGCTTTTCCTGGTAAAACGTCCCGTTTTATCGATAGTGAATGCGGTGTCCAGACGCCACATTTTAAGAATTTTTTTTTTGCCAGTTATTCTTTGCCTCAATTCTAAATTACACAGTTTTTGATTTTAGTAAATATGATTGACAGTAGTTTTGCGGAAGAACTCAAGCTTTCAGGAGTTGGTACATTTTACCTGAAATCATTTTCAATCATAGGCCAAGTTTTCGTGGTGTTGAAAATTTAAGCTAAACCGAATGTATCCGCTAAACTGCAGTGGCACTTTCTTTACTTCGAATAATACTAATGTTGTTAATTTGATTATTTTACCGTCACTTATAATTTTGTAAAACTGGCATTTTCAGTGTAATAGCAGTGCTAATCACAGTGAACTAGCATGGAACGCTCTCAGGAGAACCCAGATTACACAGAAACACAAAATACATGCCGGCGTCTTTGGCAAAACGAGCTTAATTCTTACTTGAGACCGAACTTTTTTGCAAAAAATTATACACGACAACCAGGACCTCAACCCGTGTAGATGTAGAATTGTTACTGAAGATTAATTAAACAGGTCCTGATCGACGAATGATATTTAAAGCTATGAAATTTCATCTGATTTTGCTCGAACTCGAAGAATTATATCTGATTATATTTTAAGGCAATTTAAGATGAGTGATTTAAAACGGATTTAATTAAGAAAATCATTTGAAAACCCTCCGAAGTTCTCGCTGAAAAGTGTCACAAATCTTATAAGCCGAGAATTAATTCGTTTGCGGAGCAATTTAGCGATCTTTTGTTATGAAAGGGAATTGTGTCTCTTTGATAAAAGTTTTTGTTTTGAAACACTTGAAACAAAGGTCACTTTTTAAAAATCCATTAAAATTATCGCTGAAATGTTATTCACCTAAATCTTTTGAATATGGTCATAAAAGGGCTCATGTGAAAACGTATATCATGGCCTGCTAGTCACATAAACGTATTCCAAAACGGCAAAGCTGATTCACTGAATTTTGTGACAGCAAGCTTATGGCTAGAACTTTCCTGGGCTAAAATAATCTCAATCTGGGCCATCTGAGCCAGAAACATGAGGGAGGCATTGTCAGCGAATTTGCCCTGAAAAAAAAACAAATGTGGAAAAGCTGGTACCATAGAGCTCTATCGGTTTACTTTTCGTTTACGTCAGGTATAAAAATAATATACAAATAAACCCAACAATCAAAGAAACATTTGAAAGGATCAAGACAAGTTGTTTTCCAAGATATTCCATTTCTCACAGTAAAACTGAATTTTCATTTTGCGAAAAACTGGGCAGATTCTTCATTTCATTTCCCAGCAATTATGGACGACTATTTGTAGAAAGAGACAACGATTGATTGCCGGTAAAAAGGTCGCAAATCATGTGTCAATCTTCATCAAAGCAATTTTGACGAACAAAAATTTGTCGTTTGGTCAATAAGTTTAACACATCCGATCTATGAAATGCTTAACTTCTGCATGTGTCTGTTAAACAACGGAAATGGAAACATCGCCCTTGCCATTTTAAGTTGAGTTGTGCACGTAATAAGGTATGTTTGAAGAAAAACGGGTTAAAATTATTCTAACTACGTACATAGAATGTTTCATCTCGTTTTCAGCGTAACACCTAGTGACTGCTTTTTCCGCGCCAATTGTCATATTTGACGAAAGAATTAGATAGCATACCCGCTGGTACACGACTGAACTGTTCAGCAAAAGAATTGACTTGTTTGTGCATGGCATTGACGTTTTACGTGTTCAAATATTGTCAGTAAACGAAAACAAGACAAAATCTTTTCGATTGCAAGGGTCACCCGAAAGAACAGTTACGCCGAACAAATCGATAACCGTTAATACAGTGACTCCCTACGAGAGAAAACGAACCTCGTGACTAGTTTATCGTTGATTTATTTCCTAACTTAAAAGGAAAGATGGCATTTGAATCATTCTGCCCAAAGCACCAATGTGGTCTGGCTCATTTTCCGACCTTTTTCAGTCCGAGTGTGAATACCAATTTTCATCGAGTGAGCCCCTTAATAAAGAGCGCCTAATTTTGGCTCCATTCTTTTGCATTCACTCTCTCGTTGATTTTAACTTTTTTCTCGAGATTCCTTGATTATGTTAAAATTGTATTGTACGTCCACTAAAAGCCTTTTACTATGGAACTAGATCAAAATAAAGGCACGAAGATCGAGCACGCGACAAAGCCACTATTTTGGCTCTCAAAAGCGGTGGTCAATTAAGATATTTATTATCTATTTTATTTACTTCGCTCTACAGAATGAATAACTTAGCGATGTCGCGGCGACTCAGTTGGCGATTTTCACACGGGAAAGATAGCAGACTACAGAGCCGATCTAGTAATTATTGTCCATCTTTGAGGCAACGATTGACAATTTTGCCGTGACAGTGCATGTGGTTTCATTTCCTACCCGGGTCACTTACATTTTCCTTCTAGGCGTCACATGGCCGTGGCAGGTTAAGTCGTCCCAGAATTTTTCATATCGCTCGAGCACAAGACCATAACTCTCCGCCACTGACACTGCTGGGTTGGCGATATTAGAAAAATTATTTCGATTGCATAGTTTCACACAACAAAGGAAAAGTGACGGACAACTTGATCTTCAACTCGATGGAAACCTGTAATACATACTAGCGTACAAAAACATCAGTTGCGAATAAATAGTAAGCCAAAAGGTACCAAAGATGGCTAAGTTTGGGACGATTAAGTCCAATTGAGAATAGAAAGTAACCTGAAAGTAACTACAGTGATCAGTTAGATATCCTTTGTACAATTATAGAAACTGGGTCTTCTTGGCTTCATAATTGATCTCGTCTATTCGCTGACACCCTGGGTATAGAATGAGGTTCAAGCTAAGGCCAGCACTGACTTGCGTTGTTTGGGATCTAAGATTTGTCAACTAAACCTTATTGATAGAATTCCATTAACAAAGGAAACGTAGTCTTTCGAATCGAATCATTCTTACTGAAACAATATTTGTACCTAAATCCAAATTTAAAAAAATATAAAACACTAGATGTACGCAAAAGCTCAAGAGACAATGAAAGATTCAGTTTCTTATCTCGGTTACACCCTAAGTAAACTGCCACATGTCTTAACTTGAAAAGAGAAAACTTCAAAAAATTATGAGTTGACTGACAGGTGAGAAAACTTCTCTGCAGCTTTGAAACTCAATTCCTAACTATATTGGGTGATTCTTCTTTCTCTTTTTAGAGAAAATACAATAGCCAAATTGTCCATTCGAACATGAAAAGGTTTGTATTCTGATTGGTCCCCCGAGTGGCTGGAATTTTAGTTACAAACCCCGAGCTCAGTTTTGAGATGGACCAATAGGTATTAATTTCGACGACTGTTTTTGTTTGTTTGGGTTTTTGGCAACCACAAAACAACAATGCACTGTTTTACGACGATTTACTCTTCGAGCAAAAGCATAACTGGCCGACGTCCGCAGTTTTGATAAAACTTTTACGGAAATTTATAACGCATGTCTGCCGCAGACAGACGCAAATGTTTGGCGGTGGAGTTTAATTAAAAGCCATTACAATTGAACTATATGCACGTAAATTTCTCTCAATTTTCTGATGGAAACGGAAAAAAAAAAGACCAATACGGACAATACGCCGAGTTCAATAACATCCCATTTGAAAATTAAAAATTGTAACTAAATGAACCACAAGTGATACAGTCTACATATCAACATTGTTCCTCGGATAAGGTAAACATTTTGTAAGCGGAACGCTACCATCACTACACCACCAGCAGACACTTTGTCTCGCAAACTCACCTTTAAGACACGCCGAAATACGTCGAAGGAGGCTGATCACTGTTTTGGGTGACTAGATTGAGAAATGCAAACTTTAAGTTAGTACAGAATATCAATTTATCTGCGTGAAAGTGAGCTCCATTTCCCGTAATGGAAGTGTCATTCACCTCAGCAGACCTCAGTAGTTCGCCCTTACAGACTACTTAAACTAGTTCCTTCTCTCACGATAAGGAATAGGACCGGGGGCGTGAAAGGTTAAAGCAGCAAAATGTGGCAAGTTTATACAGTGTTTGGGCTTAATAGATGCGCGTGGTTTTGGTGTCAGCTAAAAAGCGTATCATAGGAAATGTATCGCACATCAGTAATTGATCCGGTTTGCTTCAGTTATCAAAAATTGAGCTACGTTTCCTTAACGTTTTTCAATCCTGGCAGACATTCGTTATCTTTAAGTGTTATTTACAATGGGCAGTCTGCAAAGATCAACATGACCTATCCGAGACACTTGCCTCATATATGTTTTGAATTTATTTCTTTATTTCGGATTCCTGTAAAGAGGTTATGTATTGAACATTTAATTAAATATAACAGAAGTGTTTCCTTTTTTTTTGATCTGATAATGCCTCGGTAAGAATTTTCGTCCGACCACGTACCCAGGCCCTCAAAAAACGAAGTCTCTCTGTCAACTGTTTGTCTCCTAGACCGTGTACTCACTTACATGAACGCCGCGTCATATCAAAGCTTTCACCAGTTGGGTAAATAAAAGTTAATTGTCAGTACAGCAAAGTAAAGTTAATTACGGTATAAGCTGATTTATCTAACAACCGTTCTTTTTTTCTCCCTACATAACAAGTCAAAAGCGTCTGGGATCATTCAGTACATGTAATCATTTATGCTTCTTTCATGACGACCATGAGGTGTTTCTGGACAAAATGTTACGCGCTGTGAAAATTGACGATTTCAGAGTGAATACGGGTTCTGTCGAATGTCACCTGTCGTGAATTTATCCGGCCGGCTGTTGTTGGGTGTTAACCCATCAGATTCATGTCCAGTTATGTACACAACGTAATTTAACCGGAAAGCAGGAGTTTCAGACGTAACAATTTGATAATAAAAAAGAATCAAACTTGTTTTGCAGGTTTCCACCATAGAGCCCCTTTGAATTTCAACACGGACAACCAGTTAGCTTACAGTGTGCTACTTTCATAAAGTTGATATAGCAGACATAACAATGGACTCAAAGTAACTGCACATCTGTTGTTTTCTATCATTGTCGATAGTTGTTGTCACCACTGTGTAATTTACCTTCCTCTAGATCTGCGGGTCATCCGTTGCAGGGAAGCATCATTCGAGGCTACAACTGAGATGCAGAAAACACTAACCTGGGGTTTCACTTTTACGGGAAAAATGGCAAACAGGCCCACCCTTTAACTTCCAGTCCTCCATTCAGTTGGTGGTGTGCGAGGAAAGGTATTTTCGCCACATGCCATTTCATCAAGTTTACTCGCATGCCACAAAAAGGGTGTTGGACTGTATTGCCACAGCGCCGCCTGTCTGAAAGGTGAACTCCCATCGCTCCACTGTGAATCATAGAGCATCCAGAGTTGTACGCCAGATAGCACGATCCTGAGCAAATCTTATCATCTTATTTCGGTTTGCTTCCTGGAGAGATAAATCTTCATTGCGCTTTACCTCCTTTAGTTGTTCTTTGATATCCCATACTTGCATTTCCATGCAGGGTCACAGTGACTTAAGTGTGACTTCCTTACAGCGAGCCCGATCTGTCTTAATCTGGACCTCCAATCGTCAAAGCTCATTTGTTATTCTTTTTGGTCTCATTGGTCAATGACCGGCGTCATATTGAATCACAAAGATACAGCAAAGGAATCTTACACAAGATATCTTATCCTGCTGTCCTTAAATCTCTGGATTCTATAATTGCATTTCATTGCACTGCATTAATACATTCCCTTCACATGTAAAAAAAAAAAGAGAAAGTAGTCCACTTATTCCCCCAAGTGCCGACAGCCACTGTCGGGGACCCAGTTTGGCATCAGGACACCGACTCAAAGGGATGTTGCAAGCTGTCTTTCGTAGCGCCTCTCTTCTTGTGAGACGTGATTATTAAATCGCGAGAGCGCTGAAACCTCTCTCGAAAGAAAGGACTCGTGTCCAACGAGGATCACTGTATCAAATACATATTAGAATGACTGAGAATCAATTACTTTCGACAAACGCTGATCTCTCGAGACGATTTGTCGAGAAAGTTTCTGGTTTTTTTTTCGATTGCCAGTACATGTCTTCTGGAACCTACATGAATCGAAAAGTGTCTTTGTATGTTTGTTTCTCATTCTCACACTTTTCTAAGAAAATGTCAGTTTTTTAGCGTTTATACGCAACCTACTAACACATAAGGAAAAAGAAAAGCTTTCTTATAACAACTGGTACATCATAAATAACCTTTTATTTACACTTTGTATAATGTGTTGTTCTTGCATGTTACACAAAGGCAAGAGCATCTACTCACAAACTACCTCACTATAACAAAGACAAAACCTTGGTGAAATTTTACACATACATCACTGTTTCGTATCATATTACAGCTGTACATTGAAGAAACTAACTCCAGTTTACACAACGTTCCTATTATTTTAAACTCTAGTTAGGATTCAGAATAAGAAGCTTTATTATCTGTTCAAGTACAATTCACTTCATCCCTGTATTAGAAATCGTCAACAAGATGCACAAATTCATATTTTGTTAATCTTGTAAATACGGAAGTTAGTTGGATTTGCTTCTGAGTGCTGTTCCCATAATTCTCATGGGATGTACTTTATCGATGGTTGGTCGCTCCAATGCTTCCTTTAACTTCCGCTGATATTCAGCTTCCGCCTCCTGCCAGAAAAGTAGGAACTGTTAGCCTTCTCCACAACTCGTCCTGAGTAGCAATGTACTCTGAATTGTAACCCTCCTTGTGTACAAATATCTCAACAACAACAACAGGAGCAGGGAACAAAAACGTTTACGAATTCCTACTTCATTGTTAGCATTAGTCATCCTCACTTGCTATGATAGATTTCTGCCATATACTAAGTATCGTTAATGAACTTACTGATTCTAATATTTAGGCTGTCTTAGTCTTTCAAGTTTCAATCCATTTGTCGCTTTTTTTCATGAATAAGCTTGGTATACGTTAAAGCAGCACAAAGCTAAAGGTGGGAGGTGATAAACTCAACCCCAACATCAGATAGTAATCCTTCTCCCTGGAATTATAGTGTGAGAGACCTATCAGACCGTGAGATGTAACAGAGCAGTAAAAAGCGTTGTATGTATATGTATTCAACAACACTTAGGCGAGGAAGATCTCTCAACGAACTTAAATTCTTCCAATAAATTAATAAATCTGTCGACTTTCCTAAGGAGTGCACTTGCTCCCAGAAATTCATTTTTGTAATGACATTCTCTGTCCTACTGCATGTTGAATTGAACTGACCTGTCCCATTCTGAATTCCCTTTCTTCCTCTTCCATTTCCTTGGCCTTGACCCTTCGTTGATAATCTATTTGCATGTCAAGATCTCGTTGGAATGACACATTTCTGTTCTTTATTCTTTCCTGATTCTCTGCCTCCAGTCGCTTGTGTTCTTCAATGGCTGAAAGCAATGCTTCCCGTTCTTTTCTTTCAGCCTCTTGTTCTTCTTCTGCCAGTCGCTCTAAGAGAAGAAAAAAACACACCAAGGATTTGAATGAGGCTGTAGAATAGCTCGCCACACCACATAGCCTATTCCAGGAATTGGGTTAACCTAAATGATGCATAAAGCTCTATCTTCAAAGTTAATTCAACTGAATCAATTACTTCTCTCTTCAGTTTGTTGTTCTCTTGTTTTCATGACATTTGCCAGAAGCTTCTTGCGGGCATCTCTTTCGAGTTTATACTGCTGTATGGTTTGGGCCCATTTTTTCTCAACCTCTTCATTCACCAGTCGTTCCAGTTCCTTCTCTCTTTCTTCCTCCTCTTTACGGTTCATGGCACAGTATTGCATGAAACGCAAGTTTTCCTCACGCATTTCACGCTGTTCATAAAATAAAGATCAACACTTAAAATAAATACAAACAAACCATGACATTCACAGGTTTCATCATTAGTTTCGTTAGTCTTCAACAGGCAATGAAGTCAATAATTGTAAATGTGCTGCTACTTGTAGTCTGTTGGTTAGCTCCTATTAGCAGAAGTGTATTTTAGCTCTCAAAATTATTCCTAAAAATTTCTTGACTAGTTAAACAGATTAATTAGGGAAACATTGCCGATCTAATCACAAGTCAGTTTGGTCTTTGGACAGAGGTTTGCCACAACGTTCTTTACTATGAAATAAACAATTTTTCTTAAAGAGGTGGAGGTTTTTGCTGGAAGCAGTAGCTCCCTAATGATAGAGTCCTAGTGTCTGTTCCGACTGCTACCTGGTGTTTTCCTCTGTAGTCTCATACACTTTGTACATGTGCATGTAAGATGTGAACTATACAGATATTGAAACCACTTAAAACAACTACACACCTTTCTCTGTGTTTCTTCCTTCACTTCATTCCGTGTATCATCCAAAAGTTTCTCCAATATTTTCATGTCCATTGCTAATTCTTCTTGTTTTTCTTTAGCCTGAGGATGACAAGTGAATGATGAATATAAAAGGACCTCTACAGTATATCTACAGAAACACATCCTTTTAAAACACCACTTGCTCAAACTTTTTCTCACAAATAATTGGCAGGTAATTCATATTGCTTTATATTTTTTCATGTTATCAATACCTTCAAGTGACACCCTCACAAATTTCCATTGGTACTTAATAATGTCAGGAAATGATTTTTGCCTTTTGTTGTTTGTTTTTCTCGGGGTTCCATGACTTATTTCTGAGAGCTACATGTATGATTTGATAAACTGCTTGTCTTGGAGTTGTACTTGGCTCATTGCAGTCAGGGTAAACAACTTCCAGTGGATAGCAAAAATAAATATGTTGTCTCTGAAAGTTCTTTGGTATTACTTCAATGACAATTTCTCAACAATGGTACTTGTTTCCCTGACTGCTTGAGAAGAGATCATTGTTCTGGTAGGACTTCACTCTGATAAGCATATCAGAAATGTGATATGGGTAAGGACAACTGTAGATTTCTAACATTACCAAATTGTAATGTTATGAACAGTGTAATAGCTTGTAGTCATGTGAGAGTGATAGTGTTTTGCAACAAACCTCCTTTTCTTTCTTAAGCCTGATGGACACCTCTCTTGATTTTTTTGCTGCTTTCTGTTTACGGAGCTTTTCACCCTGCAACCATTTCTCCTCCTCGTTTCTTAGTCTTGCTTCTTCTTTCAACCACTCTGCTTCCATCTCTTTCAATTTCTTTTCATCTTCTCGCTGCTTTTCACAGGCTGCAATCTGCACTTGCAGAACCTGAAGATTTTGAATGGCCAACAACAGCATTAGTTATGAGACATATTTGTTCATGCCACAGTTGTCCTAACACAAATTTGGCTTCAGATATAGGAATTTAAGGTCATTCCTCACATTTGCATTGTGCATCCTTACTG